AACTGAACAGACCAATATCAAGCGCAGAAATTGGAGCAGCAATAAAAAATACTTCCAAAAAAAAAAAAGTCCTGGAGATGGGTTCACACCCGAATTTACCAAATATACAAAGGACCACCCATACCTATACTGCAGAAATTATTACAAAACACTGAGAAAGATGATATCCTCCCCAGCTCATTCTATGAAGCCAATATCACCTTGATACCAAAGCCAGGAAAGGATGTAGGAAAAAAAAGAAAACTACAGACCAATATCCCCTATGAATATAGATGCAAAAATTCTCAACAAAATTTTAGCAAACTGAATCCAACAGCACATCAAAAAAATAATTCACCATGAACAGGTATGCTTTATCCCAGGGATGCAAGGCTGGTTCAAAATATGCAAATCTATAAGTATAATTTACTACATAAATAAAAGAACAAAGACCATATGATTCTCTCAATAGATGAAGAAAAAGCATTTGATAAAATCCACCACACTTTTATAATAAAAACCCTCAACAAAATAGGTATAGATGGGACATTCCTTAAAATTATTAAGGCCATAGATGACAAACCTACAGCCAATATCATATTGAATGGGGAAAAATTGAAAGCATTCCCGCTTAGAACTGGAACCAGACAAGGTCGCCCACCATCCCCACTTCTATTCAACATAGTGCTGGAAATCCTTGCTAGAGCAATCAGACAAGAGAAGGGAATTAAGGGTGTCTGAATGAGGGCAGAAGAGATCAAACTCTCACTCTTTGCTGATGATATGCTATTATACCTTGAAAATCCCAAGATTCAGCCAAGAGACTCTTGGAATTGATACATTCAGTAAAGTTTCAGGATATAAAATAAACACACACAAACCAGTGGCATTCATATACACCAATAACAGGCTTAAAATCAAACGAAAGACACAACACCTTTCACAACAGCATCAAAGAAACTTAAATATTTAGGAATATATTTAACAAAGGAGGTGAGAGATATTTATAGGGAGAACTATGAATCACTGAGAAAAGAAATTGTAGACGATGTGCACAGATGGAAATCCCTACCTTGCTCACGGATTGGCAGAATATTGTTAAAATGTCCATTCTACCTAAAGTGATCTACAGAATTAATACAATCTCTATTGAAATTCCACCATCATTCTTTACAGATTTAGAAAAAATAATTCTACACTTCATCTGAAACCAGAGAAGATCTCATATAGCCAAAGCAATCTTAAGCAAAAAGAAAAAATTGGGAGGCATCAGTCTGCCAGACTTCAATCTTTACTATAAGGCTATAGTAATCAAAACAGCATTTCACTGGCAGAAGAACAGAGATACAGACCTTTGGAATAGGACGCAGATCTCAGAAGTAAAACCATTCTGATATTATCATCTAATCTTCCACACAGCAGACAAAAGTATACATTGGGGGAAAAGAATCTCTATTCAATAAGTGGTGCTGGGAAACCTGAATATCCACATGTGGAAGACTAAAATTGGATCCCTACCTCTCACAGAAATCAACTCACGTTAGATAATAGACTTACACCTAAGGTGTGAAACCTTAAGAATTCTCAAAGAAAATGTGGGGAAGGCTCTTCTAGACATCTGCCTAGGTAAAGAATTTATGAAGAAGACCCCCAAAGCAATCAGTGCAGCAATAAAAATAAACAAATTGGACCTGATCAAATTAAAAAGCTTCTGCACATGCTCTAAGGAAACTGTCCTTAGAACAAATAGACAACCTACAGAATGGGAGAAAATATTTGCTTTCTACACACCCAACAAAGGGCTGATAACGAGAGTCTATATAGGACTTAAGAAAATCAACAAGAAAAAAATCACACGACCTCACCAATAAATGGGCAAAGGACAGAAACAGAAACTTCTCAAAAGAAGAGAGAATAATGGCCAGCAAACACATAAAAAAGTGCTCAACATCTCTAATCATTAGGGAAATGTGAATCAAAACCACAATGAAATATCACCTAACTCCAGTGAGAATGGCCTCTATCAAAAAGTCCCAAAATAACAAATGCCGGCATGGATGAGGAGAGATTGAATCACTCATCCACTGCTGGTGGGACTGCAAATTAGTACAACCCCCGTGGAAAGTAATTTGGAGATGCCTCAAAGAGCTTAAAATAGAAATACCATTTGATCCATCAATCCCACTACTGGGCATCCATCTAAAGGGTAAAAAAGACATTCTATAATAAAGACATCTGCACTCAAATGTTTATAGCAACACAATTTACAATTGCAAAGGTTTGGAAACAACCCAAATTGCCCATCAATATATGAGTGGATGAATAAAATGTGGTCTATGTACACCATGGAATACTACTCAACTACAAAAAACAATGGTGATCTAGCACCTATTATCCTGGATAGCGATTGAGCCCATCTTTTGAAATGAGATATCACAAGGATGGAAAAACATGTACCACATGCACTCTCCATCAAATTGGTGCTAACTAATCAACACTAAGGTGCTCACATGGTGGTAATACTCACTGGGTGCCAGTCAGGAAGGGGGTTGGGGGCTGGCGGATAGAGCAGGTGGGGTGGGTAAACCCACAGCTAATGGAGACGGGGCTCACTGTATGGGGGAAGGACACACTTGTGGCCCTGGCTTGAGTGAGGCAAATGCATTTCATGTAACCAAAATGTTTGTACCCCTATAAGATCCTGAATTAAAAAAAATATTGGTGTAAACCTGATCTTGAGTGGGGCTTTTTTAGATATGGCACCAAGAGCACAAGAAATCAAGTAAATAAATTTGGCTTTGTAAAAATTAAAACTTTTTGTACTTCAAAGAACACTATCAAAAAAGTGAAAAGACAAGCAAGAGAATGGGAGAATATATTTTCAAATTATGTATCTGCTAAGGGTCTAGCATTCAGCATAAAGTAGTATTACAACTCAATAATATAATAAAAGTGGGCAAATGATTTTAATATACTTTCTCTGAAGATTTTAAAATGGCCAGTAAGCACATGAAGATTCTGAATGTGATCAAGGAAATTCAAATCAAAATTACAACCAAGTGATACAGTACATGTCAAGGGCTCAGCATGATGACCAGCACACAGTAAATCCTCAATAAATGTTAAATGTTTCAATAAAATATTTCATGAGAAAAAAAGAACAACATTACAAGGAGATACTACTTTTTGACCACTAGTGTGGCTATAATAAAAAGATACAGAGAGTAGCAAATGTTATTGGAGGTCCCATTAGTTGTTGGTGGGGATGAAAAATGGTACAGTCATTTAAGAAAAATAATTTGGCAATTCTTCAAGAAGTTAAACAGTAACTATGTCTTAATAAAAATCAAGACAAGTATCAGAAAAGATTATAGGCCAATTCACTCAAACACAGACGCCAAATTCTAAACGAAAAGTTAGCAAACTATCTAGAAGTGTATAAAAATGTGTTTTATGATGTTAAGTCATATGTATTCCGGGAACGTGAGAATGGTTTAACACTGGAAAACAATCTATAAATGCCATTCATTCCATTAACAAATTCGAGGACAAAACCCACATGATTATTTCAAATTATGCAAAGAATAAAATGGGCCTGAGGGATATTTTCTGGGTGATAGAAGTGTCCTAAAACTGGATTGTGGTGACAGTTTCATATGCCTATAAACTTATTAAAAATCATTGAATTATATCCTTAAGATTTTAATGATATGTAAATTAAACCTCAAAGCTATTAAAAATATAAACAGCTCTGCAAGAGAGCTTTTGTTGGGGTGAGGTACATCAGGAGCTATGGCTTAGGCAACACAATACCTTCAGTATATCAGATTCTAAATTAGTATGTCAAGTAAGATGAAAGGATCTGCAGTTACGTATAATTTGGAAGATCTAACAGAAAGATGACAAACCAGGCTTTCTATTGGCTGACGCACCTTGGGCAAACCAGGCTCTCTGGGCGTCAGATCCATGTTACAATGGTGACTTCAATTCTGATGGATCTCAATGTTTAATTTTCTTTTGGTAATAGTTTTACTGAAATAAAATTTGCGACTCACTCAATTCACCCATCGAAAGTGTACAATGTCATGGTTTTGAGAATATTCAGATTTGTGCAACCCTCACAATAAAACATTTTCTTCACTCCCCCCCCCAAATTCTGCCAAGGTCAGTCTGTAAGTATGTTCGTTTCATGCCATTCCTAAGCAGCCATGTAATAACGTATAAAACCTGTGAAATACAATTTTATCTCGTATCCAGCATTCACCTTGTTAAGCCTAGATTTACATCGTACTTTCAGCAAGGTATAACCTTTATGATTCTGAGACTCTGACTTAGATGTCAATTACTCAGACTTTAGCCTTGAATGGTGCTTTCCTATCCAGAGCCTGAAAAAACTGTCAAAATGGAGGCGGTTTAGATTCCTTCTAAGTGTTAGATCTCACAGTCGACACTGGTTGTTGGGAGACTATTGAGATAGTGGCAGTGTGGGTAACAGAGGGGAATGTGTGTTGTCTACACGAGCCTGCATTTCTCCCTGTATGTTTTGCCTTCGCTGGTTTGATCTTTTATTGGTTTTGCCTTTCCTGCCCCCATGGAGTGTGACCTTCAGGAACGCAGGGGGTTCACACAGACTTTGGCCGTGGACGTATTGTGAGTGCACAGAACACTGCCTTGCACATGGTCACCGCTCAGTTGTGGGGGAACTGTATTGAATCTGGTTTCATGCTATCTGTTCCCCCCCCCAAAACCCCAAAACAGGTTATTAGGAGGAGCTTATCCTAGTAGGGTCATAAAGTTGCTGAAACTGACGATGACAAGAACCCCATGAGTTGTAAGAAAGCCTTAAGGACCACAGAACCCTCTTGAACTTGGAACAAGACCAAAATTACTAGACGCTCAGAACCCACACAGTCAGCTAACGACAGGGAGTCTAGACTAGAAAGAACACCAGACTGTCAGAAATCACTGTTCTGCTCCCAGGGGTACACTGCTCGCCATTTTTCCACTATGCCTATTCTCACCCGATCCTTCTTCCTTGCTTGGTCCTTGGTCAGTCTGTATTGGCTCAGAATCTCCTGGTGTTTCAGCCAGTGAATGTTCTGCAACAAAGAAAAAGGGAGAATGGTTTCAAAGTCATAGCAATTACCCAAGCCAGGGACGAGAGCATCTCGTTTTGAACTTGTAATTGTACTTTTCAGCCACAGTTTTGCCAAGTGGCCTTGGGTAAGTCACATAATGGGGTAGTGGGTTACAGCTATTAAATGTCAGGAGTCATCTTCAACACCTCGGAGTTCAGACCTAGTCAGTCAACTACTCACGAGATGCCTTCAATTCACAAGGCCCAACACTGACTATGCTTCTGATCAACTTGTTGCAAAAGATCTCTCCCAGTGTTTCCTGGGACGAGATCAGGGGACCCCATGCACCCCATTTCTTATGCCAGAAACCTGGGTATCAGCCTCGATACCAGGTTCTGTTTTGTCTGCTTCTGAACCATCTCCCATCCCATTTCTACTTCTTTCGCTAACTGCTATCACCATTCTATTCCAGGCCACCCTTATTTCCCTCATGGGACACTAGAGTGGCCCCCAAGTGGTCTCCCCATATCTATCTGAGACTCCCTCTGGGTCCCTCAACACTTTACCAATAGGGCTGAAATATGGATTTGATTATTTTTACCTCTGCTTCTTTAAAACTACTAACTGCTTACACTAGCTATTATGATTACTTTCAAGGTGCCGGGCTTGGTCCATGCCTCCATCCTCACCCCATGCTCATTCCCCATGGTCTGGCCAAACCCTTCTTATAGGCTTCACAGTGCCTTATGCTGCCTTACGCTTGGAAGCTTCTACTCCACAGCGCCCAGTTAGCTTGGCAAGTTAAATGTTTTTCTCTCCAAGCCTAAGGCAAACTTCTAGGAAATGATTCTGGGCTTCACTTCCCTCTAGTCTGGCATAGGAATGTCCCTTACATTTTTTCTCCATATCCATTTTTAAAATTCCCCATTTTAAGTCTCCAGCATTTGACACATGAGCATTTAAATATATGCTAAATAAGTGTTAAAGAAGAATCTCATCTTTGTCACTTATTAGCTCATGGACTTGGTCAACATCCCCTACTTTAGCTTCTGCCCTGGGGGGCCTGTTCCATTGGGTGGGTTTGGCACCAGGGGCAGGGCACGCGAGAGTCTCAGAGTAGCGCCGACTCAGTGAGCGTGAGCTAGCACGGCAATGTTTATGCCCTCATTCCCTGTGACCACTACCAACACGCCTTCCACACAGGGCATCTCCAAGGTTTGGAAGAAATATCCCTTCAAGTCCTCCGCAGCTGAAGCCACAAGCTCTGTCCGAACCGCTGATGTGCAGGTGTGTAACACCTGTGGCCTTAAGGACCGACTTGCCCGCTCAGTCATTGGAAGCTTTAAGTTTTCAGTCTGTGGCTGAAGAGAGACTTTCTCCTGATAAAGGATAACTTTAATGTTTAAATTTTATTTATTTTTATTTAAAAGTATTGTGGAGGCAAAAATGTTTTTGGTTACATGGCCTGTCACCCAGGTAGTGTTCATCATACCTGTTGGGAGGATGGGCAAAAACCTACCTTGCTTGATTTCCACTGAGTTTTACTTCCCTCTATGCACATGTGTGCTCATCAGTTAGTTCCAACTTAATAGTGAGTACATGTGGTATTTTCCCATTCTTTAGATACTTTACTTAGAGCTTTTTTTTTTAAATGGACTTTCTCCAAAATACCCTAAGATTATCACACAATCTGGTCCGAGTCTACTGCTGCAATATGGGGACCAACAGTCTAAGCAAGGCCAGCCCTTCAATCCGTGCCTTGAACCTCAGTTCTTCAGCCCAGGGCTGAGTGACAGATCCATCTGCCACCCCACTGAACTATCAGTGTTCTCAATAAGTGAACAAAGCTTTATCACCCACTTTCTATATGTTATCCCATCGAACCTTTACAACGGTACATATGATATCACAGCTCCTGTTCCAAGATGTGGAATCCGAGGGTCAGAATAAGAGGAGATGGGCCCAAAGCCAGGAGTAACAAGTGACAGTTCCAGAACTCAAGCTTGCTGCTCATGCTCCAAATCCTATTAACTTCAACTGAATTCCATCTGTGTAGAGGAATCATCTTCCTGTTTCTCCTTCTGCATCATTTCACAGGCTGGAGACTACACTAATTTCCAGCCAGTGAGGATGACCAAGGAGTTACTTCTCACAGTGCAGACTCTCGCTGCAGAGGTGGGCACAATTACACAACAATGACACCTTCCCCATTCCCGTGAGAACTTGGGATCATCCGTTTTCTCTCCTGCCCCAAATTATTACTCACTTTTCATCTCATCCTTTGCTTTCTCAGAGAGCGTTGGCAGGTTCATCTCTTCAAAGATGTTAATGGACATTTCCCAGGCACGAGGTCCTATGTAATACTCATGCAAGAGGAAGGCTAGACGTTCCACATCGGCGTTATCTACTTCAACCAATGGAATAGACCTCATTGTCAATTCTGAAGACTTTTTCTTCAGTAATTCCTTAAATGTCTGAAACTCTTCCTTGTCTAGCTCCTTGAGACACGTTTGCAGTCCATCAATAGAAAAGGAGGGTAACTTGTCTTCTACCATCTTTATGCAAGGTTGAAAGCTCAGGTTTTGGTGGAAAAGTGGATTCTTTGGTAATGTGGAACGAACAGGACCTGTGGGAAGAGTGACAAGACACTGAATAGAATCTTGCAGAAAATTTTCAAGCTCATACCGTGAACCTCAATGAACTTGATAGATGAGTAACATTCTCTGCTCTTTTTCAATTCTTCATGGACAAAACCACAGTTGCCATATCTATCCTGTTACCAGAATATAAGTTCTGGGATATTTTGTTGTCTGTATGCTTAGTTGCCAAAACAGTACCTGGCATGGAATAAGATTCCATACACATGTCGTGAAATCCTCTTGGCTAGGACATCGTACTCAAGGATGCTGGAGAGCAGGTTCCCACCACTGACTAAGAGCCAGCTTTTAATTTTTAGATTAGTTGATTTACATTATGCCTGCTAATATTGTTTATATAAATACAAGAAACAATTTTGGTATAGACTAAACTAATATTTGCAAGTTATCTGATGATGAATTTACATGGATTGGAAGAATTATATTGTTAAAATGGCCATTCTGCCCAAAGCAATCTACAGATTCAGTGCAATCTCTATCAAAATACCAATGGCATTCTGTGAATAGAAAAAAAACTATCTTAAAATTTGTTTAATTTGTAACCACAAAAGACCCAAAATAGCCAAAGCAATTCTGAGGAAAAAAAATAAAATCTGGAGGCATCCTACTACCTGACTTCAAAGTATACTCAAAGATATAGTAACCCAAACACTAAGGTACTGGCATCCAAACAGACAAATAGACCAACGGAACAGAATAGAGAACCCCAAATTCACGTATTTACAGCCAACTGATTTGGGGCACAGAGAATCTATGCTGGGGGGAAACACATTGCTTTAATAAATGGTGCTGCTAAAACCAAATATCCATATGCAGACGAATGAAACTGGACCTCTAACTCTCCCTATATACAAAAACCTACTCACAACAAAGATAAATCTAATACCTGAAACTAGAAAGCCATTAGAAGGAAACATGGGAAAAATGCTTCAGGTCATTGGTCTAGGCAAAGATTTTATGGCTCAGACTTCAAAAGCATAGGCAACAAAGCAAAAATAGACAAATGAGATTATGTCAAACTAAAAAGCTTCTGCACAGCAAAGAAAACAACCAACAGAGTGACGAAACAACCTGCTGAACAGGAGAAAAAATTTGCAAACTACTCACGTGACAAGGACTAATATCCAGAATATACAAGGAACTCAAACAACTTAATAGCAAAATACCAAATAATGTAATTAAAAAGTGGACAAAGGATTTGAATAGACATTTTTCAAATGATATAAAAATGGCCAAGTATATAAAAAATGCTTAGCATCACTAATCATCAGGGAAATGCAAATTAAAACCACAATGAGACATAATCTCTCCCCAGTTAGAATGGCTAATGCAAAAAAGACAAGAAATAAATACTGGCAAGGATGCAGAGAAAAAGGAACTCTCATACACTGTTGGTGGGAACGTAAATTAGTACAGCCATTCTGGAAAACAGCATGAGGGTTCTCAGAAAACTAAAAATAGAATCATATGATCCAGCAATCCCACTGCTGGGTATTTATACAAAGGAAAAGAAATCAGTACGTCAAAGAGACACCTGCACTCCCATTTTATTGCACTATTCCCAGTAGCCAAGATATGGAGTAGACCTAAGTGTCCTCAGTAGACAAATGGATGCAGAAAATGTGGTATATACACAATGGCATACTAGTCAGTCATTTAAAAAGGAAGGAAATCCTATCATCTGAGGCAACATGGATGAGCCTGGAGGATATTATGTTAAGTGAAATAAGTTGGACACAGAAAGTTAAATACTGTATGTTCCCACTGATATGTGGAAGTTAAAAAAAATGAGCTCATGGAAGTGGAGAGTAGAATTATGGGTATTAGAGGCTGAGGAGGATGGGAGAGGATGGTTAATGGATGCAAAATTACAGCCAGATAGGAGTGCGTCTGGTGTTCTATGGCAAGGTAGGGTGAATATTGTTAACTTATTGTATATTCTAAAAAAGCTAGAAGAGGATTTTGAATGTTTACAACACAAGAAATGATGTTTGAGGTGATAAATATGCAAATTATCCCGATTTGATCATTATATATTGTGTACATATATCGAAATATCTGAAATTTCACTTTATTCCATAAATACATACAATTATGTATCAACTAAAATAAAAGGAAAAAACTGCAGCAAGTATACTTAGTGGGGAAACTTTTTGTTTTGGATAAAAGGCAGGGATCAGCAAACTTCCCTAAAGGAGCCGAGTATTTTAGGCTGTGTGGGCTGTTTAGTTTCCACCACTTCTGCTCTGGTGGGCTGAGAGCAGTCAGATGATATACAAATGAGGGAAGCTGTTTCCAATAAAGCTTTATTTATAAAAACAGGCAATGAGCTGGATTGGACCCATAAGCCGCAGTTTGCTGATCCCCCAGAGGGAATCAGACAAGAATGCTAGCTGTCAGCATTTCTGTTCAGGTTTTTTGTAAAAAAAAGTTGTTTAAACATTTTTAAAAGTTTAATTATTATGAGTACATAATAGCTGTATGTCTTTATAAAGTATATGTGATGCTTTGATACAGGCTTATACTGTCTTCACTAGTATTTATATTCTGTATTCCACTATTATATTTACATTATTTATATCTGGTAGGAAAGCAATCAGATAAATGAGAGGTATAAAAGTAGAAAAGGTAGATTTAAAAAAATTAACATTTGTAGGTGTGTGTGGCTAATAAAGCCAAGGAAATTACTTAAACTAGTATAAATCATTTGAAGTCATTAAATGGGGTTATGAACAGATGTGACTAAAATCTCACCCTAATTCTGATAACCAGTTAGAAAATATAATGTAAGGTTAATAGCCACCACAGAGATAAACATGTTTGTAAAGATGTGTTTTAAAAGCTTTAAAACACTTCTGTTAGAGAAAAACCTTAAGACAAAGTATATTTTCAACATAATTATCCTTAAAGTAATCAGTATGTCATTCAAGAAGTCCTGCTGGTATTTTTATTGGGACAAGCAGCTCATTAACATTCTTATAAAAAGCCAAAAATAGACCCCCAAATTCTGAAAAAGAAACTGAAATTTACTTCATTGATAACTAAGCTAGACTTCAACATCTATAATAAGTCACCTTTAGGGTCCAACATAGTGGATGTGCTAAATTTTCAAATATTTGTATTTGTGCTCATGAATTCCTACTTTATATTTAATCCCCAATTAGCAGATGGAACAGAATGTCTCAACCTAGTAGTATAAACAAGACAAAGATAATAAATTATTTCAACATATTCTCTCTCCATTCAAAAAAAAAAACTTTAAAGTTTCCCTAGAAAAAACAACTGGTATAAATAAATTTGAAGTATATGACAAAGAAATTATATAAAGAGCTCTTCCAATCCATGAAAATGCTCAGTTTATTACAACCGATTGTCACTGAAATTCCAAAACTTCCTCGTATTCTGATGGCCCTTCCGTCGACAATGTACTCTGAACGGGTCAGAAACCTTGCCCCGCGCGCTCACGGGGTATAGAGCCTTCGCCCGGACTGGCGTTGCGATGGCGGCATGACGCGCAAGCCAAGACCCGCCTCTTGAGCAACGACAAACTGGACCGAAATTGGGAGGGACGGCTGCCCATCGCCTTTGCGTGGTGGCTGCCACGTGTCGCGACAGGGTACACCTGAGAGGGATGTGTCTCCTTTCGTTAAGTATCGAGTGTCATGTTGTATGCGTCTTTTGGATCTGGCTTTTCATGACAGATCGCTTCATACTGCAGTCAGTACGGATATTCTTGAAGACCTTGTCATAGAGTTCATCAGCTGAACATGACCTCCAAGCCAATGTCAATTGGAAAGAACACCCGCGTCGCCGTACAAGGTTGAACGATATCGCTCTTCTTCGCATTCAAAAGGAGCCCCAAGCGACAGTCTCTCCGGCTAGCGCGTTAACACGACTAACACTTACTATGAACTGGAAGAATTGGCACACGACGCAGAAAGAATTTGATGCCCAAGCCAAAACTTGATGGATCTTGACCCTCTTTGTAGTACTGAAACCCCCCATTCATGTTCTTTACGGGCAGCACAGCATTGTATATACACTAACTTGTATTATGCTTCTCTATCATAGTAAGCGCGTCTTATACCCTACCTATGGTAACATGAAAGGTCGACGAAACACAGTTTTCTGCCTTATTTTCATGCCTTAATCTTTAGGAGTCCGGATATTGGATTAATGCCTGCGCTTTATATGCACCCATACCTTGACATTAACTTATTTGGTTTCCCCAATGACCACACCATAAGTTAAAGCTACCTTGCACAGACCATGCAATTCTCTGACTTTTGACTATCTAAGGCATGAAATCAGCTCATTTTGTGCCTCTGTGCCGTTTTGTGCTTCTGTAAAGCCTGTTACTGTAGCTGCTCGTGATGTCCCTCACAAGTATGCTGACGGGAAGTGGGGTTGAAGATCCGGCCATCTCTTGACTCTCCATGGCTAGCTGAAACCGTGCCGGGTGTATGCCTACTCTGAAGTTTTTATACAAACATTAGTCTGCAGCCGCGCCTTGCATGTATAGTGAACCTCTTTCTTGCTGTTTCTTTAAGGAGATCAGGAAAATAAACGGTTTCTTTGTGAGAATGCTTAAAAAGCATAATTTTTGCTTATATTCTTTTTTTCAGCGTAACAAGAATGATTTTATTTTTTTGCGAAGACAACAACAGTTTCATGTGAGATGGTTCTGTGTAGAACGGCCTTTTTTGATTTAAAACAACTTTTTCCGCCCGCGGCTCTATCAAGTCCTAACCATACTATTTGTTAAGTTTCTGGATAAACTCATTTCCCAGATCAGGATTAAAGCCCTTCTACAAATAAATGCCTTTCAGCTACAAGAATGACATGCTTAAAAATTGAAGTGATTCATGGCAAGCATAAGCAGTTGTGTGAGCATAGTGTTGTTCATCTCAACATCATTTGTACATTCGTCATTTTGGAGAATGCGCTCGTACTTGCCGATGAAAATCCCAGTTATGCCGGTCTATGCGAAACTCACTTTTGC